GCCACCCAGCCGGCAGGGAAGGACCCGGACATTCCTTGCTGCAGAGTACAACGGAAGCAAGTTCACCATGGCTGCGGGATTGCCTGTCATCACCTGCTCTGTTGACAGGGCCCTCCTCACACCACAGCCTCTGGCCCCTGGAGCTCACTCGGTTCCTAACCGGCCCCATACGCAAAACCTTGGCTGCTCACCCTGCTGAGGTCAGGCCTCCAGCTGGGTTCAGAACGGCTCTCTAGCCAGGTTCGATCTCAGGCTGGCTCCAGGAGGGACAGCGTTGGGACTGACACCCCAGGCCAACTGGAGGTCTCTGTATTTTGGAACATCTCACCTCTTCCAGGCACCACATCACCAGCTGGAAGACAAAGGTTAGAGCCCAGAGCTCTGTGCCAAGCGCTGCCCAGTGCCTAGCCCATCCAGTGAACGGCTGGGAAGCGGCATGTCAGACGCTTCAGCTCAGAGAAGAGAAAGCCCAGGGCTGGGAGGGGGAAGCCTGGAGGCGATGTTCTAGCTGTCTCCTTGTTCAGGAAGTTCACTGGGAAAAGCATCCCAAACAGCTTCTCCCTAAACTCCCAGTCAGTCAGAGCAAAGCTGATCTCCCCATCCAGCAGGAAATCCCCACCAACTATCTGCTCCTCTCCTGCCACATTGCCGCTTCCATCAGGTTTACCTGCTTCTCAGCCCAGAGGACAGCAGTATCAGTTCAGCCCTGCGAGAAACGCACCACCAAAACCACCCAGTATGGCGAACCATGCCTCCCCGCAAGACTGTGGTTTCACTTGTGCTGTCCCGGTCCGTCCCCTCCGCTCAGGCGGCTTTCAGCAGTCAGGAGATCACATGGACTTCACCCCCACGTCCTGCTTCTCTAAAACAACTCAGTAATCAGCTCATATCTCTGGGGAGGGGAGAGGGGGGATCAAAGTGTTTGTGGAAACAGAGCCTGGCCACAAATAGCTTCTCAGCTGTGTCACACAGCTGTAAGTCTAAGCACTCTTCCAACACCCACAGACAGAAGCTGCACCAGGAAAGACAGTAACCATGCCACGGCTTAGTTTTCAGTAATATGCAGACACTCAGGACTAGCGCTGGCCTTGCGCTGCCCAGAAGGCAGGCAGACTTGCCCCTCTTGTCAGACGAGCCACAAGAGCAACACAAGTTCTGACCACAGGATCCAATTCCATCGGTCTCCTCCTAAACTTGGACAATTCTCCCCCGTGTTACTTCTCTACCACCTTTGCTGGAGGAAGGAAAGCACAACGTTTTCCCCATTCAGGTAACTGAACTACCTGGTGTCAGCTGCTCAGCAAGGGGCCTGAGCCGCCCGTGCTCCCGCAGCACGCCTCTGCAGAGAAGCGTCTCCTGGGCCAGCATCGCTACTTCCTTGCACCAGCCATTCGGTTTTGCCTTCAAGAACAGCAGCACCTTTGCCTGCGTGCCAGAATCCTTCTGGAGAATTCAGAGAGATTCCAACTCAATCTCTCGGTCGAGCCTAGGGAAAATGACGGCAGCATGAAACGACAGCACATGGCAAAGGCAGACACTGGCACCACCACACCACAGCGCTACGCAAGAGCTCAGAGAGCACAGAGAGCGCAACACAAGGGGACACAACAGAAGCCAGCAAGGTCGAGAATAAGTCACTTTTGGTACAATTGCAAAAAGATATCAAACAGGACTTGCCTCTTTTTTTGTCTTTTTCTAAGTTTTATAAATAAAGTCTGATAACTCTTTATAAAAACTAACCTCAGAGCCACAAACAGTTTGCGGGAGGTTCATGAGAAACTTTAAAATTATTTATTTATTAACTTTTAACTAGCAAAGTCTCCGAGAATATTTCCCCATTTATATGGTCAAATATTCTCGCCCTCTCAGATAAAAAAGCTGACTATAAATACGCTCTCTCTTCTGTCTGATTTTAAACTTAGATAATTTAATAACTCTTAAAACGATGTTTCTCTCTTTAAATAAAGGGCTATTTAACCACATAAACTGGTTGTGTAAACCATCACACTAGAGACACTTGATACCCTCAAAACACGGGAACAACTAGTGATTTTGGTCTTGTTCAGTGCAACACATTAGGCACAAAACCGGCCTGCAGTCAACACGGTACCTTCCTTCCCTCCCCCCTCGGGGTGCTGGGCCCCTGCAAGGGCCCCGTCCCGGCTCCTTCCCCATCGCTGGGGCAGAGGCAGCAGGGCACGACAGCATCTTCCTTTCCACCACTGCTAGTTTACACAGCTAACGCAACGGACATCTGAAGGAAACCCACTGTTAGGGCACAGAGGCACACCTAGAAAGGAATAAAAACCTATTATATTACACAGAACACCCCAACTGCAACTACGGGTACCAAATGAGACAAAAGCAGCAGGTTCAGGTGCCTGGCAGTCAGGCACCAAGATGCACCACCTGGAAGAGTAATGAAGTAAAGCCTTTGGAAGTGACCGAAAATTAGGGTTCCCGGCCCCCAGGAAGAAAGCCTCCCTCCGGACCTTCCCCAAGCCCTTCCATCGCCCTGCTGTCAGCCACGCTGCACAGACTTTCTTTGGCTAGAAAACCAAGATCTCGCAGTCTGTCCCAAGGGCACCCGAGGGCTACAGACCGCTGGGTGGGAGGCTCTGTCTGCAAAGGACAAGGGACGCGTCACCACTGCTCATACCAATCTGGACACAACAAAATAAAACTGGAGTGATCAGCAGGCCAGTCCTGGGCCAAGTAGAAGGAACCCGGACCCATGTGGGGAGGGTTTGTGCTTTGGGGATTCCAGGCTGGTTTTGTGCCTAATTGCCCTGCACAGACAAGCTCAGGCAACACTCGCTTCACTAAGACCGGGCGTCCGTTTTGGATTTCACTATTGTGATGACACTAGTAGTAGCAACCTTGCCAGGGACAAGGGGCCCCATACTGGAGGTGAGAGGTCCCCGCGCAGGCGTCACGGGGCTCCGGGCCACGGTTCTGGCGAAGTTCTGGAGAGCCTCATATTTGGAGCGGAGAGCATCGAGTTCCATTTTCATGCTGGCGTTCTCGGAGGCCAGCTTCTCCACTTCTTGCTGCAGCTCTGCCTTCTGCTTCTCCAGTTCCTCCTTCTGGGTAACACGCTTGACTCTGCAGCTGGCTGCGTAGCCCCGGTTCTTCAGCGTGCGCCGACGCTGCTTCAGCTGGATGATCTCCTCCTTCGACAGGCCCCGTAGATGCTGGTTCAGCTCCCGCACAGACATGGTCACCAGCTCCTCATCTGTCAAGCTGGTCCCATTCTCGCCTGGCTCCCGCTTCACCTGGAAGAGAAGGCAGCATGCACTCGTGAAACCTAGAGTGGATGCCCTGCACCCAACACCTGCGCCCCTTTCCTCCACCTGCCTCCTTACCTTCAAGGCCTTGTTTCCTTTGTTGGGGGTCGTCATAACACGACAGCCTTGTCAATCAGGTTCTGGAAGGGAAAGAAGGTCAGGTTAGCCCCCCAGGACGCAGCAGAGCCTGCAACATTCCTGTGGCAGGGTCCAGCAGCAACGCCCCGTGCTGCTGCACGTCCCACTCCCCTCCCCGGGCAACGCTCGACAGGCGCTCGACTGAGCTGGACTCACAAGTGGCAAATTCTGTCCCTGAGCAGAAGCTGCTGCCCTTCCACACCCCTACTCCCACGGAGACTTTGTGGCAATGCTGTTTTTTTCGCTTGGGGTGGGGGAAATTAAAAAACTAGGAGGAGTCAGAATACACGGAAGCCACGTTTTTAAAAATAGCCTGGCAGGCAGCAGGCTGGGTCCAGAGCACGGCTGCTCCGGGCCAGTCATGCTGACTCAGCACACTGGCACTCTGTGCCTCTTGCTCCCCGCCTCATCCTTGTAACTCCCAAGCAGAGCAGGGCAGCCAGTCGCTCCGACGTGCCCTTCCAACAGGTGCCCAAGCAGAGCCCAGAAACTCCCCAGGACGAGAGTCCTACCAGATTCGAGGTGCCCCCAAGGACCCAAACCAGTACGGTTCAAGAACATGCGACCCTGGGCAAGGAGCGCAGGGGAAGCCTTTGCCTCCACAGTACGGCTCACTGGGCATCCTGCAGGACGGGAGAACGCCGCTGCTGTGCCCACGCCTCTCCAACTCTTTCTGTTTCCCAGGAAAGCCAGCACATCCAGGTTCAAGTCAAAGTTCTGCACCCAACCTTCCCCAAAGAACAGAAGAACAACCTGACGCTGCAGCACAAGGAAGCACTTGGGCACACTGGAATCCCATCACAAATTCGGGCCGATGCCTCAGCAGCCTTCACCTCTCCCGGTCACCAAAGCTGACCCCAGCCACAGGCCTCTTCTGTGAGAAAGTCCCTATCGGTCCCCAGCAATGCCAGGGCCCAGAACCACGTTCTCCCTCCCTTATCCTCAGAGCCAAGGTATGCTCATAAGAAAACAAAGATCAAGGGCAGCCAAAACCAGAAGACAGCAGACTCCTTCACTGCCACAGAAGACAGGATGTCAGAACTGCTAAGAGCAATTCCCAGGCCTGTTTTTACAGTGAATCGTACCCAAGCTCCTGTTTCTGCCCCTACATACCTCCTCCCCTCAGGCTTTAGTTCAGAGTGCTACTACGCTGCCCATTTAATTAATCTGCTCAGATATTGCTTGACAGACGTAGTCGCGCCTCGAACAGCAAAGAACCACACACCTCCTTAAGCGAGGCAAGCGTTGCTGTGCAAGCACAGCCTACAAACACCTCTGTATGTTTTGTCTCTTCAGTGCCAAACAGTCAACAACAATTTTGTTTGCTACTGCTTTGCTAAATGTAAGAGGCACTGATGTACAGTTATAGCCAAGAACCAGATGCACAAGTCAGCAAATACGAATTTATGCTCTTCTAGCAGCTGTGGCGCAGGCTCCCTGCAATGCATCTACCACCTATTAGAGGTGAATGGGGTCAGCATTCCCCAGGACAGCGGCAGAGATGTTCCCAAAGCCTCCAGCCTGCCAGGAGGCAGGCTATTTATACCCAGAGGACAATGCTCCTTCCAATGAGACATCCGCTACAACCTGACAGTGCTGGTGTAGAAAGGGTCACTTTGCCATCCAAGGAAGGTAGCTGCAACGAAGCAGGCTAACACAGGACGGACAGCACACAAGCAGCTGCCTCATAAAATCAATTCTTACCGTTTTATTTCTTTCCTCTGCCCCTACTTGGCAAACAACATGGCTGCTGGGAAAAGGGGAGAAGGAAGGGAAGAGCTGGGGAGACCGATAACGTCACCCCTGCAGCTCCTCTCTGCACCAAACTCTGGTGAGCGTAAGGAGCCGCGGGCAGGCATGGTCAGTGGGACCACAGAAATTTGTTTGCCTTGTGGCGCTGAAGAATTTCCAGCTGCCTGGCAAGCACTCAAGCTTCCTTCATTACAGCAGAGCTGAAATAAAACAAACAGGGCAGCAAACATGCTGCATCAGGCAAGGTATTGGGAAGAGAGCTCCTTGGGGCAGCCTGGGGAATCAGCAGGGGTGCTCGCACAGTCCAGACCCTGCAAAGTCCCCCTTCCCAAGGGGAAATGAAAATGAGACGCAGCAACGCACAGGTCAGCAAGTAGAATGGGAAGAACAACCTGGAGACTAGTTGTTGGCTATTTTTTGGGTCCCATTTGAAGGATCAGAGACAGGGCTATTCGGCAGCTCGCAGAGAGGACACCCAGAGAACTGGCACCAAGACAGAGACCAAACTTGGCCTAACTCTCCAGACTGCCGATTGCTCGGCTTTTGATAGCTTCCTGAAGAAAGATCACACTGAAAAGTGCCAAACGCGATGACTGCAATGAAGAAAATGCAGCCTCAACACATTTCCCCAGAGCTCAAAAGGCCTGAACTCAGCAGAAGCACAGCCAATTCTCTCCTCAGCTCAAAGGCAGCACAAGGGAGCTGACAGCACCACGCATGATTCAACGCAGGCCCCATTCTCCACATTCCTGATTGCAGAACCATGCCACGAGCCCCGTGTAAACACGGTGACGTCACCCGTTCCAGCACAGGCTGGCCTGGAGACGGGCGCCGGGAAGGAGGGAGGGAGTGAGACCCATCTGTAGGGACAGGGAGGCAGAGGAAGGGGCTGCGCTCCACAACAGGCTCCGCAGCGCTGGGCGGGCAGGGGAGCGGGGTTTGCTGGCAGCCGTCAGGCACGCCGCACGAGAGCTCTCTCTCCCAGTGTGGATTTCATACTCTGTTTATTTGCTTTCTTGCAAATTAGCTCACGCAGCCCTCCCAGGAACCCAAACAAATCGGACGACTCCCCCAATTACATATGAAGTCAGGAGAGCGCTTCTCCTGTGCCCCCCGCCCCGGGAGCCCCTGGTGAGCTCGCATCCAACCCAGGGCTCTCTGACAGCAATTCTCCCCTCACGGAATCCGACCACCCAGCCAGCTTTAACTGTGCTTACACAGATAAAGGAAAGCGCTGGGTCTTGGAGACCCCTTCCAGCCTCCCGGTAGTGCTTTCCTCTAACCACGCAGCTCAAACATCGCGTTTTCTGGGCAGAGACGTCCCCAGCCCTGACCAGCAAGACCCCTCCGTGCACACGCACAGATGCTCTGTACTGGCCAGGCGTCGCAGTCCACGGTCCCGCCGGAGAGGCTTGCCTCCCGCACGGAGGGGATGCGCTCAGCGCCGAGGACACTGCAGAGCCGAGCACCGAGCAGACCACAGCCTCAGCCCGCCCCTTGCCCCCACCAGGGCCGGGGGGCTCGG